CAAATTTATTACTTAGAGCAGGTATGTTTTTATGGGCAAGGATCCATATTATGCTGTTCGAATTTGCACATGTGGCTCCATACCATTGATCTGTTTGTGTATATATCATTCAACAAATATTTACAAACAGTATTTGTGTGCTATGTCTTTATCAGGGTGCTTGACAGAAAAGTGAATCTGGTACAAATATTCAGAATAAATTAAATATGTGAATTAAACAACTATATGCTGAGCATGTATTCTTACATAGATTAATTCAAAATTACTATTATACCGGGTTATAAACATAGACACGAGGATATTGTAAATCATAATTCATTTGAATTCACATTTGATAATAATTTCTTTATTCTGAAAATTACAATGGAAATTGAGAGCTAAACTGCATTTTTATAATAATAGACCAGGCAAGTTAGACAATAAATCAGCAATTTTTTTCTGATGAACCGATCGAGTTGCGGTTTTCGACATTGTCTTCGGAAAAATATCAGGAAAAAAGTCTATATATTACACTTTGGGGCTGGATCGAAACTGCATTGCGGGTGCATAAAGTGCATCTTGGAGTGCATAAATTTTTCCGAATTTTCTAAAAATGCTAAAAATTGACTAAAAGTTGTAGAAATTTGGTTTTTGGGGTCGGAGATTCCGAATCTGACCCTGAAAAATATTTCCAACGGCCCTGGGGAGCAAGTGGGGGGCCTTGTGTAAAACATTGAATAGCTGAGTAATTGCCTTCTAAATCCCCACTCGTGGGTTTTTGGGGTCGGGGATTTCGATTCTGACACTGAAACGTATGTCCAACGCCCCTGGGGCCCCCCAGGGAGCAAGGAGGGGCCTTCTGTAAAACACCAAATAGTTGAGTAATTGCCTTCTAAATTTCCACTCGGGGGTTTTTGGGGTCAGGGATTTCAATTCTGACACTGATAAGTATGCCCGACGCCCCTGGAGCCACCAGTGGGGGCAAGAGGGGGGGCCTTCTGTAAAACATCGAATAGCTGAGTAATTGCCTTCTAAATTTCCACTCGGGGTTTTTGGGGTCGGGAATTCCGATTCTGACACTAAAAAGTATGCATGACGCCCGTTGGGTGGGCTTTCTAGAAAACATCGAAAGGCAGATTTTTGCAATGAAACTGCTCCATCCGCTTACCAAGCATGATCTTGTAGGCTTATCTTTACATTGTGACACACGCTAATTTACAAAGATTAGACAAGAAGGGTAAGAAAAACTAACAGGAAATTAATGAGTCGAAAAGAATCCACTTTATTCTGAAAACAAATATTCTTTTTATTTGCAAGGCAATTAGTGAGACAACTACTATCATATGTTTATCTAACACTTTCACTATCAATCACAATTTTCATCATCAGTGTCTCCATCACTATCATCTATATTACATTTTCGACTATTTCAGGATTGGAACAGTTGTGCATGTAATTCCNACTTTCACTATCAATCACAATTTTCATCATCAGTGTCTCCATCACTATCATCTATATTACATTTTCGACTATTTCAGGATTGGAACAGGTGTGCATGTAATTCCATGCTTCCTGCACCCACAAGATCTGCATTGTCGATAATCGGATTTTGTCGGGAATTGTTATGCATTATCCGCAGTCGCACGGGCCCAAGAGATTCTTTTGAAAATCCATGATCCATGAAATATTCTTCGGTTTTAAGGAATATTTCTTTGATTTAACGAAATATGTCTCTTGGGAATGGATTGTCCAGGATTTCTCCAATTCTATGACAATTTTTCTCAGTGTTATACAAGCTAATATTAATGGATATTTTCCAGTGTCAGATTCGGAATTCCCGTCCCCGAAAACCCCCGAGTAGAAATTTAGAAGGCAATTACTCAGCTATTCAGTGTTTTACAGAAGGCCCCCCCCTTGCCCCCTGGGGGGCCCTGGAGCGTCGGACATATGTTTCAGTGTCAGAATCGAAATATTACAGAAAATATTTATTCACATACCCCATATTTTTTTAAAATAATTACGTATCCATAACAACATGACAATAAGTCACTGTTAAGTTTGTATTTTGCAAAAGTTTGTTTCCAAAAATGCCTCGTCACAATGAATTTACGAATTATGAAATGAGAAACATGATAGTAGTATATGTACCGGAACATTTTAGTGGACGCGCTGCTAAGTGAACATATGAAGAACATTATCTGAATCGCAGAGTCTTTTCACGTGTGGAGCGAAGAAAATCCACACGCAATAAAAGAGCATCACTTCCAACACATGAATCTTCAGTTAACGTCTAGTGCGGGATAATAGGAAAATTTATTTTGGGGCCTCTCGCTTTACCTGTACGGCCAAAATGACTTGGAATTCCTTCAGAAAGAACTTCCTGGGGCTCTTGAAGAAATACCCATTAATACTAGATGACAAATGTGGTTCATGCACGATGGTGCGCCTGCTCATTACAGCCGTTTAGTAAGAGATTTAAATCAAACATTTCCAAAGTGTTGGATTGGTCGAGGTAGTGACTTTCCTTAGCCTTCTCGCTGTCAGGATTTTAATTTGTTAGACGTTTACTTTGAGGTTATTTGAAAGGAATTGTTTACAACTCTGTAACATCTAATACGGGGGAACAACTTTGGAATACAATAAAAGACGCTGTATGACAAGTTAGACAAACGTATAATTCGTTTCCTATTCTCAATACATAGTTTCATAAAACATTTAAGGAAATGTGTCGAAGAAAATAGGGACATGTAGAGCATTTATTATAAATTAGTAGACTTTTCATACCCCACATCTGGACAAGCTAACGCGACCTCGAACAGCGGAAGTAGGCTATGCATTGTTGTCAAATCTCATATTTAAAGGAAGGTTATTAAGCATTCAGAACATAATAGAATTCTACTTAAAAAAGTATAAATGATAGTTACTGATAATGTTGATTTTTAGTATTTTTTTATCGTGCGATTGTAAAAACTGAATTATCACAGGTTGTTGCATTGTTAACTGTAGAAATTGTACCAAATAAAAATTTTGTATGGGACATAGAGTTTGTGTTATTCATTTTTGTTAACGTCAACTTTACATTTTTTTCCTGGTGTCAAAATGATGGGTTTGTGGTACTTTTGTCATTACACAGACTCTAAAATATGTTACATTATTATGTAGTAACAAACCTACCATATATATTTGAGTCATTAAGTTCATTTTATTAAATATCTTGCACATGGTAAAAGAATTAAATATTTATTTAAAAAATTTGCTGCTTGGATAGATTGCAACATAGATTGTTGAAAACATTATAAAAGAGCACTACAATATCTAAATTAACTGAGAAGTTTTTTAAGAAATCTTTGGAAATTATATATAAATGTTCACATTCCACAAAAAATCTTCAATAACTTCCCCAATTACTTCATCATTTAAAAAAATCTACAACATATATTTTTATAGGTATAAAGATGGATGTATCACCGTCCTGTAAATTTATGATTTTGCAGATATTGAGAATATTTTTTATATCTACAGTGATTCCACTTTAACTACAGAAACTGCAGGAATAGATTAGTTGCCAAAAAATAAGTAGAGTTTGCTCTATAAAATTTTTCTGGGGGGCGTGGTATTCGAGATACAGGGTGTTCAAGTTTTAAAAAAATATATATATATTCCGTCATATCTTCATAAATTTATTACAGCATATTTGGGTAATTAGACCTTTTATTGAATTCAATATTAACCTCATGATATTATCCAGCGGTGTGCTACTGAGGGTGCCCCTCCATTCTTCCAAGAAAAAAAAAATTGTCAGTGATTCTTGGTATTTCTTAATAGTAGGAGATAATTTACTTATTTGACGACCATAATGGGCAAAAGTCAACCTACTCATATTTGTTGAAATTTGATGAAATTGAATCTTTTGTCTGCATTATTAGTTAGTAAGCTTTACGATGATCTCGTTTTACTATTATAACTAGCTTTGTTTTCCTATTTATTCCTGAAGCTGCAGTTCTTGTTGTGCTTATGAACATTAGATACATTGTGGCAAAGGATAGAGGAGAATTGTAATCTCCTCAGGGAAAATCATGTCATGATAAGTTCCTCTATAAATAGATTAATAGATGTCAAAAGTGTATTGATGCGGAAGGACTTCAGTTTGAACAATTGTTATAGGACTCATTACTTAATTACTTACTCGACCTATTTGCTAATGTTATTTTATTATTTAGCATGAAATTTTTTTCAGAAATAAAATTATTTCTTCAAAAAACTACCAATGGCGTATTCTTTTCTTGGGATAAGTTGGCGGATGCTTTAGTAACCTGTCACTGGTTAAAAGCAGAAGGTTTTCATCAAATAAATGGATTAATTTATTAGGAAAGTTCAAAAAAACGTCAAAATAAGCCCAAATATCTCCCTAAACGACTGCTACAATTAAAAAACACCTAGAAACATTTTTCGTTGATTTAACTGTAATATTATTTCTACAAAAAACCACCAGTGCCATATTTTTTTCTTGGGAAAATGGAGCGGCACCTCCAGTAGCACGCCACTGGTTAAAGCCACAAGAGGAATATTACATTCAATAAAAGGTCTAATTATGTAAATACGCAGTAGTAAATTTGATTCAATTCCGTCTGCGCATTATGAAGATATTGCGGAAAACATTATATTATTTTGTAAACTTTAACACCCTGTATCTTGATTACCAAGTCCCCCAGGAAAAAAGTTTATAGAGCAGACTACTTATTTTTTGGTAATGAATCTAGACTTACAGTTTCTGTATTTAAAGTGAAATCACTCTGTATAATAAAATTAATGACATGCTTAAAATATGTTAAAACTGTTAAAACCATTAATATGGTTATCAAGAACAAGATTTGTTAGAAAACAAGAAAAATTATTTTCTTAACAAAAATAACTTGTGTTAACAATTACAAAATTTTTAATATGCTTTATGAACGTATATTTACTTTAGTTCACAATCAATAAATTTTAGCAGATTCTGGATATTCCTTTCATTATTTTAGGTAAATTCTTATTCCCCTGCATTATTAACAGTATCAAATCTGCCATTAAAACTTGAGACAAAGAGGATAAGAAGCAGATTGCGTAAGTTGGTGGAAAATTGTGGTGGAAAAATTTTAAACATATCTTCTGAAGATGGCATTGCTACTATCAGATTTGGAAATGTGGATACTGCCCTAAGGTTAGTAAATTTTTTATTTTCTCATAAGAAACAGAACAAAACTGTTATGCAAATAGATTCAATTTACCTAGCGATTAGCAATTTTGATTAGAAAACTAAAAACTGTATCTATAATAAAAATTAAATGCTGTTTATTGAGAACGACTGGACAGATTTGTCTAATTTCTTTTATTAAATGTTCTTAATAGTCTGAATAAGGTTTTTTAGGTATAGAAAAATTGGAAATTGGAAGTTGACCGGAAAATTGGAAAATTCGGGAAAAACTGAAACCGTTTTTTTCCATGGGAAAACGATGAAATTCACAAAACGATCACGAATATTTAAAGTACGAAGCGGTACAAACGGAAATATGCTACTATTGGCAATTTTCAGACACTTCAAAATAATTTTGAATCTGGCAGCAATATTTTAACAATTTTTGAAAAGTTTTTAGTTCATATCATTAGATCTATTAATAAGTTGTCAATCATTTGGTAAATTAATCTATTTATTTTCGTGGCAGTTTCGTAAGAATATGTGAATAAACATTTTTTCTCTTATTTTTACACAGATGACTGGATAATATCGACGATAAGGTTGTCTGAATTTGTCTTAAAATAAATTAATTTATTAAATAAATTTCTCCATCAACAAATTCAGTGCGTAACTAATAAATTCTAAAACTGTTGGAGATATAAAGCCCTTATTTTTTTATAGAAAAGTTGGGTTAAAAAAATAAATCAACTATTGCACATGAAGACACATTCACACGAATTCGTTTCATTTCAATTTTTCAGGTGAATTTGTATATAAAATTTAGAAATGATTATTCCAATTTTTTTTGTTTCAAAAGTTTGGATTTAATAAGAAACATATATATCAGGTAGTGTATAAGTACAAGATTATATTCGTTATAAAATAACACTTTCAATCCTTTTTTATTTAATTAGGTATTTGTACCACACTGAAGACAAAATATAAATTTCCGGTACTAAAACGGTCAGTCACCAAGGGGATCACAAGGTGATTTGGTTAAAAGTTTTGATAATGCAAACAGAAAAAATTTTGAAACATTACTATGTTAGGTTAGATAAAATTAAATTTATTAAGTCAACCTAATCATTTTGGTATAAGGGGTTTTTTATTTAAAATTTCTTTTCCGTGTGACCGAATTATTCATTTAAATTAAAAAAAAGTAATAAAAAGTGTTTTAAATAAATAATTACAGACAATAACTTTAACTATTGATGATATTGCGATATTAAGTGAAGTGTTAATAAATAAAGTAAATATTCAATTCTCATTTGAAATGTTAAAAAGCAAAATAAGTATTTTTTGTGGGAGTTTATAGTCCTTGAGATTTAAAAAATATAACAAAAACACAAATGCTTTGCAGAAATTTAGTATGGTGAAATCCTTTCTATAATAATGTTCTAATTTTATTTTAATGAAGTGATTGTTCATTTTTATTTAATTTACTAAGAAATGGCACATTTCAAGCCCTATGAAAAAGATTATAGGTACTATTATTTTTAGTCCCTGGTTTTTTATTAAAGAAAAAAAACTTGTGTAGTTGAAAGATTTAAGTTTTGTTAATTTATATTTCTTATAATAGGGCACAAAGGAGGATTCAAGGAGAGGATGTTTTTGGAAGTAAAATTAAAGTATTATCTCCATCTGTGAGGAATTTCTCAGGTAAGGTTATACTTATTGTTAAACTTCAATTTTATATTATAAAAATATCTATGGAAAAATATTGTTTAAGAATTTTGTTTGCAATTTTATATATGTACAATCCAAAATAAGTTATTCAAATTAGGGATTAGGATTAGGGAAAACATTTCTGTTTCTAGTTTTTTAACTCATATTTTACTAGTACAAAGAAAAATTAGAATATGGAATATTTTAAAACGTTTTATAAAGCATAATCTAGTAAAAAAGCTTGGGTTTATCTTATGTCAAAATTATTCACTGAATCAAACAAATTTAGTTTAAAATTTTGTTTTGAAAAAAAAACGGGATGAAATATCCCATTTTTGGATTTTCAATTGCAAAAAGAGAACTATAAAATGTGTGATAAAGTAGTGTGCATGACATCAATATTTCAGTTGTGAAGAGAAATACACCATCTCTATAATTCCAATAGACCCAAGTAATTCCAACTTCTTCACCATTGGACTGTGATATTTAAATGACATTTTGTTACAATTAAATCCAATTAACAACATAATAACACTTGAAAGAATTACCAATGTAAATATATGGGGTGTTCAGGTTTTAATTGGGAAACTTGAACAGAACATATAATTTTATGCAAAAACTTTCATATAAACATTTGCTTCCGAGAGATGTAGGGTGTTGAAAATAAAAAAAATATCGTTTTCTGTTTTTTTTTTTATTAGACATTTTACATAGACAGAAAGCTTGGACCTATGATTTATCTAATTAGAGGTAAATATTCGCTGCATTAAATAATACATAAATACATCAACTAATGGTGGTGATTTTAATTTTATTTGAAGAATCAGCCATTTTAAATTATGATTTTTTTATTGTAAAATTACAGTTAAATAAACTGAACATAACTTTAATAAAACTACTACTACTACTACTACTGCTACTATTACTACTGTTAATAATTCATAATAATAATAATAATAATAATAATAATAATAATAATAATAATATCTGTACCCCTCATTCTAATAATAGTAATAACAATAATAATAGCTTTATTATATTAAAAATAAAAAACACAATCTATTGGCATTACGAAGAAAATTTGTGGGATTTTTTTTTATACAAATAGGATTTCAAATGCAATGTGTTCATTGCATGTCCAAAAATATGATTTTTCGGACTTTCGAGGATTACATTATATTTCAATTTCTGTTTGTAACAAAAAAATTACATAATATGGAGATAAAGAAGTTATTTTTATGCTAAATTGAACCCCATACTGTCCTACAACTATAGCTAGTAGCGATTTAAAATATTCCTTTCAGTTTCTAAGAAAATGTCAGTGGAAATGTTAAGTGTCACAAGTCACACCGTGTATATATTTTTGGCATATACTTTAAGGCATTAGATGTACATGACAATAGGGTCCATCTAATTGTTGATATTGCCTCCAGTTTCAGGGGAAGTTAGGCCATCTGCGGCCAGATTGCAATGCGATAAACGTTTGATCTGAACATTGAACTGTATATTGATTTTAAATTATTTTCTTTTTCTAAGGGTTAAAGAAAAACAGAAATATTTTATAGTTTTACATTAAAAATACCTAAATTTGAGAAACTACAGAATATCGATGATTATAATTATTTTACGTTAGTTGTACATACAATTAAAGAAAAGATAGAATAGAAGATAACATGTCTATTCTATTTATGTGAAAAAAAAAATCACACAACATATCACACCTCTTCAAAAAAAAAAAACAATGTACGATAATCACAAAACAATTTAATAGTATTGTGTTTGAGTCATGAATAATAAATGTGTTAGCGATAAACGATAACAATGATAATTAATTTAATGGTTCATTATTGTTTTTCGTTAAAAGCAAAATGTAGGTAAATATATAAGAATTTACAAACACCCTTGAGAGAAAGTATTTTTATGATTATTTCCAAATTTCATTAAAACACGTTTTTAAGTGGTTACAGAAATTTTATAAAGATTAGGTGAAAAATTTTTGTCGTAAAAAAAATGTTTTATTATGTTTAATAATATTAACTTTTTATATGATTTAATAACTTTTATTGTGGTTAAATTACTATTTTTCATGAATAACATATCTAAAAAATATACTTGAAACCTATTACATTTACCATTTTTTTGTGACCTAATAAATTGTTCAACACTATTGGATATATCTGCCTTGCTTTTAGAGATAGATTCATCAAACATTAAATCGCTACTCATAAAAACGCATTATATCTAAGTTAAATATACGGGATGTTTGTTTTGAAAAAAAACTAGTTTTTTTTTTGTGATATCTGAAACAGTAGAGAAAATCCCCATAAAGTTAGGTATGCCATTAAAAAAACAACCTGTATTTATTTTTGTTATTCATGTAGTGTTAAATTTTGTCCAATATTATACACCTACAGGGTATTACAAAAAAGTAAATCATCCCATTAATCATAGATTCTTTTAACGAAAACAATAGGGCTGTTCTTACGCCATTTTTTCATTTACACACCTCTTTTTCAATATGCAGTTTGTCAAAGTTACAATTTAAAATGGAAATTTTTTTTGCTCATGACAAGAATTCAAATGCATTGTTCTTTATAACAAGATATTTCTTTGTTTTAATTTTTTTTGTCATGTAAAACTTTTATTTACTCTTTGGTTTATGTGACTATGCAACAAGTTATGTTGACCCACTCGTAGTTTAATTTCCTTTAGTGATGATCTAAGTTTTGGGTAGAATTAATTTAGATATGTTTCTGCATAATGTCCAACACAAAAGTTAATTTGCAATTTAAATATATTTTTTTATTGATCTGGTATCATTTTGACAATTTTGAAAACATATTACAGAAGGAAAAGACCGCAAATTTTCTAGCATATTCAGTTCCCTGTATTAAAAGAGACCAATGTTTGACACCTTTTCAGATGTTATCAGAAAATGAAATATTGTGACAAAAAATTGCCCTGTATTGTTTTAATTTTGTATGAAATCATTATTTAAGTGGAAATTAAAAAAAATTGATATGTACAGGGTGGTTGATTTTCGATAGTTTTATAGGGTACAGCCAAAACGGTGATAGATACAAAAAATCTGATATCGATGTCCCGTCCTCTTTTTTTGAGTTTACTTCGCTGGTCCCAAAAGATCTTGGCTAACTTGATTAGTTTTAGATATACAGGGTTTTTTTGAAAAATGGCCCATTTACATTAACCTCTCTATCTCCGTTGTCATTCAATTTAGAAGAAAAAAGTGTGCACATTATTTGTTCTATTTTTTATTAGGAAGCCATTGGCGTACTCAGATTTTTTACAAATCGCACAGTTTCTCCGATATTGCATAAACATAGGTTTTTTTAAATAGAACACCCTGTATTTGGCCATCCCGTTGAGTAGCATTTTTTTTTACCTTTTCAGCCATATATAATAATAGATACTTTTTATTTGCCTAAATGAAGAAAAATGCAAAAATGTAGATATAGATATTTTTTCAGTTGGCCATGTTATTTATTTATTCGTCTTTTGTTGTTTAATATTGACAGTTAGTTTATTTTTGACTGATTGAAAGCTTGTTAAACGTCTATTACTTGGTTTTAATTTTGAAAAGTATAAAAATGGTGTACGAAAATCTTCACAAAGTTCAAATGTTAGAGTGTTACATTGAAAGTGAAAAAAATAGTGACACAGCTTTAAACTTATATTTGGAGAGATACCCAGAGCGTCATCAGCCAGAAAAGAGAATTTTTAGCCGACTCTATGATAATTTGTGTGAGTTTGGTTCTTTTCAAAAACCGAGAGCTAAATCTTATAATATACAGAATAGAGAAGATGATGAAATCAATACTTTAGCTTTTGTTGTCGCAAATCCCAACGTATCCAGCAGAGAAATTCAAAGAACGATAGGAATTGGTAAATTCAAAGCATTGAGAATTTTAAAAAAACACAAGTTTCGACCATATACTATAAGAAAAGTCCACCATTTGCATCCAGGAGATGAAGAGAGACGCATCATTTTCTGCCAATGGTTTTTGCAGCAAACTCATGTATACCCCAATTTTTTTCAAAATGTTATTTGGACCGACGAGGCTTTTATAAGCAGCGAAGGTATATTCAACCGGCATAATGCGCGTTATTGGTCAGATGTTAATCCTCACCAAACTGTGGCCAGAATTCAACAAGGGCGATTTGGTTTTCATGTATGGGTAGCTCTCTTCCACAATAGAGTGTTAGCTTACGAAATGTACGATGAAAACCTTAACGCTCAGAGATATGTGAGAATTTTACAAGAAAATATTATTGAACTGCTGGACGATATGTCACTAGCTCAACGATATAATATGTTCTTTCAGCATGATGGTGCGCCTCCACATAATTCCCACATAGTTAGAGAATTATTAAATCATAATTTCGGGGACAATTGGATCGGTACGTACGGACCAAACAGGTGGCCGCCTAGGTCACCAGACCTAACCCCTATAGACTTTTATTTTTGGGGGGATGTTAAAGACAAAATTTATAAGTATAGAGCTAATAATGTCGAGGAGCTAAGGGAACATTTTGAAAACTATATTCAGCGGGTGTCAAATATTCACATTTACAATGCGACCCGTTCCATTGCCAAACGTTGTCAGTTATGTATCAACGAAAATGGCCGACAATTCGAGCACTTGCTGTGACTTTGTTATGTCATTTTTGTTTTATTGTTGTTTCTCTCATTTTATAGTTGTTATTTTTGTTTAGTTTATGTTTAGATAATAGTTATAAGTGTACCTATAATTAAACCTATTAAGTAAAGATAAATGGATAATCTAATTTATTTTTTTTTTAATCTTTTAGTCTAAGTTAGGTGCTTAACATAAAAATAATAATAGAAAACGAAGAGACCAATACTAAATATAACAATAAATAACATGGCCAACTGAAAAAATATCTATATCTATACATTTTTGCATTTTTCTTCATTTAGGCAAATAAAAAGTATCTATTATTATATATAGCTG